CGATGATTGTGCTGATGCTGTCGTTAATGATTATGATGATGACGATGATTGTGCTGATGCTGTCGTTAATGATTATGATGATGACGATGATTGTGCTGATGCTGTCGTTAATGATTATGATGATGACGATGATGATGCTGATGATACTGATCCTGGTGATGATCATACTGACGTTAGTGCTGATAACGATGTTATTTATGATGTTGATCGTTATGACGATGAAGATGCTAGTAACGATGAAGATGACGCTGGTTTCTATTCAACCGTAGATCTTTCTCGCAGGTCACAGCAGTGGTCGCTGCTTTCGATCCGTTCATCAGTTACCCAAAGATGATAAAAGCAGTCACCTATCTCCAAAACAAGGATTGCCTCTTCCTCACGACTAACCAGGACGTGATATTCCCACAGACGGGGTCTGCCCTCACTTTCCCAGGTAATTGTCCGCCCCGGCAAAACTTGCGGACGTGCGGTTCGTACGAGGCAGCGTTACGAAGCTGGGAGTGGATCGTTATCAGCTAACGAGTCTTGCGATGGCATTCGATAGCTCGTTACCATCGCAGACAGTAACTTGTTAATTTCATACGATTTGCCGTTAAAATGCTTGTGTTGTGAGACCTGTCATGTCTGCATAAAAAGGTCTCTCGCTCTCTCTCTGTCTCAAGAGAGAGAGAGAAAGAGAGAGAAACCCCTAGGGTTTCCTTCACAGACAGCTGTTTTTAGTATAGAGGGACCTGCAAATATGCAGGCATGAGAATTTTCCGCGGGTTCGCGGATTTCCGGGTTTTGGTTTTTATTTTAGTCATTCTTGAGATTTATGCAAAAAGCTAATAAAAAGCTTAGGGGTGTAATGCGTACTTTTTTTTGTCAAAATTTAAATTAAACTTCATAAAAAGTCAGGAAAACTACGTCAAATTTCACACAGAAGTAACAGAACTCCAGATAAATATCACGGTGTATCTATGTAATGTAAATTAAGGCATGCTTTAAGTTAACAAGACTTAAAATTACAAGACTTTGAATTGTTAGTCACGAAATTGGTCTTTTACTAAGAACGGAATAGACATACAATTTTCCCCAGAATGCATGGAAATGGCCTATCTGCCCTTCCAAATTTCACAAATTTCCTGAAGGGCATGCCCCAGACCCCCCTAGCAGGTCAGTGTGCTACACACACTGTTAGCCTTCGGCACCAATTGAAATATTTCCTCCAAAAACATCTCGACCTGTTCTCATGCCTGAATATGGGTCTGACCATGTTACCACTAGCACCCCGCGCATCAACAACCCCGTACCTGTGGGGCAACAAATGCCATGTCGTTTGTTGCAGTGATAATAAAATGATGATATAATTTAGTTCGTGGTCAACTTGAACATCGGTTCTCATCACTAGACTAGTTTCTAGAGTGTTTGATATAAGAGTGACATAGCACAGTTACTATCAATTCGCGATGACAAACGCAACAGCACGCGAACGCGGCAGCAGTACGTGGAGAAACTGACGCAGCTGGGATTCCCTGGCTGAACTGGTGCGGGATCTTAGACGACGAGTTTGTGAATGAAGGTGCGTGAAGCTCTAGGGTCGACCACCGTAACGTGGGGCAGTCTTGCTTGTATGCGTCAGCGACATTCCAAGAGGGTGTCTACAGCGTGAGCGATGCAACGTGGTGGCGTGTGTGTGCGTGTGTCGTGTTTGCTGCATGTGTGCATGCGTGGGTGTGCGTGTGGTGTGCATGGTGCGTTAGTGTGGTGGATGTGCACGTGTGCGTTGTGTGTGTGCATGGTGTGCGTGCATGACGTGTCATGTGTGCCTGTGCTCTTGGCATGTGTGCTTGCGTGCGTGCTGCGCTGCTACAAGACTCATGACATTTCAGGATGACATCAGTCCTGCAACAGCCGCACTGACTTGGGCGCGTCTCTCTGAAGGAGGTGGCAAGTGCCGAGGGGCAGGTCTATGTCTTGCAGCGGATGGCGTGGGAAGACACTAAGCATCGCGGAATCCAGCACATCGGATAGGGGTACGTGCACGCTAGGCCACGCTCGGCGCAACACTTCGCTCTCACATCAGCCGGTAGAGAGAGAGAGAGAAGAGAGACGGAGAGAAGAGAGAGAGAGAGAGAGAGAGAGAGAGAGAGAGAGAGCGAGAGCGGAGCGAGAGCAGGAGCGAGAGCGAGAGGCGAGGAGCGAGAGCGAGAGCTGAGAGAGATTTTTAGAGAGAGAGAGAGAGAGAGAGAGAGAAGAGAGAGAGAGAGAGAGAGCGAGAGAGAGAGAGAGAGAGCGAGAGAGAGAAGAGAAAGGAGAGAGAGAGAGAGAGAGAGAGAGAGAGAGAGAGAGAAAGAGAGAGAGAGACGAGCGAGAGAGAGAGAGAGAGAGAGCGAGAGGGCTAGGAGAGCGAGAGGAGAGAGA